GCTATCATGGGCCTTGGTTGACTCATTAGGGTGCTAAATGTTAACTTCACTGCATCTGAAACAATCTACTTCCTAATGCATACTGCATGATAGCAAGTCTTATCCACATCCCTGCTCCATGGTCAGAGGAGGTTTACCAAGGACTTAAGCCACTTGTATTTCCTCACCACATTAAAAAAAAAACACACAAACAGCTTTAAAAAGGGTCAAAAGGAGGTCAAATGATATTACATTTTGACCTAACTATGTCTGTCTGCCACAATCGACTTTATAGTGCTCACTGTCTGATAATAGGAGTATTTACATCTCAACTGTGATAAGAGGGAATTCAGCGGAGGCTTAATCCATGTGTGAACCTTCCAAATGGGCTTTAGGCTTCCATTGTCACTCAAAGCATTTTGCAAACCAAATTAAACCAAAGGTTTTTAATCTTTTCTGTGCCGTCTGCCACTTTGGCAGTCTAAGAACCCCCACCTGCTTCTTAAAGTAAATTTTTATTTCAAATCCAATGGTAAGTGAAAGAATCAGAGAAGGGCAGTCAATAAGTAGAACAAACCTTTCCAATATTATTCTACAACTTACTATTTTCATAAATGAGAGATCTTAGCTAGGAGGCAGGTTAGCATATCAAAGTCAACACCATCACTTATAAAGACTACACTGAGTTCTGTTTTATGGGTGCATTGTAATTACTTTTATTACTTGCTTATCAAAATATTTAGATTGTTGTTTCTTTTCATTTTTCTTTTTCCAGTTGATGTTTCTTTGTTTGCTATTACAAGTCACATAGCAGTAAGCATCTTCATAACTATTTTGTATAAATCTCATACAAGCATTTCTGTTCGGTATATTTCTTTGAATTCCTGGGTGGTATAATAGCTAATATGCTCAGCTACTAACTGAGATGTTGATGGTTTGAGTCCACCCAGGGGGGCCTCAGAAGGGAGATCTGGTGATCTACCTCTTAAAAGAAGCCGAGAAGAACTCTATGGAGCACCATTCTACTTGGAAACACCTGAGGTTGAGATTCAAGAGCAACCGGTGGGTGGGGTTGTTGTAGTGGTGGTGGTAGAGATTCCTTTAAGTGAATCTGTTTGGCCAAAAGAGCCACATGTTTTAATTTTTTTTTTCAATGATTAAGGTAAAATCCAAGAGGAGATGTTTTGAAGCTTTCATTCCTAAGGAAACCTTTTGAGAGGTTTCAGCTAATTGTAAGAACAACAGTTCTGGACTGTCTCACACTTAATCTTACAGAATTTCTTTCACTCTCATTCTCTGTGTTGCTACAATCCCTTCTTCTAATGCACAGTGTAACTCCTACCAACTATCCTTTTTAGTCAGAAACAAAGGATTTCTGTGAAGCCAAGTTCAGAAGCTTCCCAAGTTTCAAGGTAAAAAGTAAATAACCTCCTCTGTGGATTTGCTTTTCCAAATGGATCAGAATATCTAACCCTACAACTTTATTAAATCTATCTTTAAACTTCTCCTGTTCTTGTACAAACAAAAGAAGTGGATTTATTAGAAAGGGAACTGCAAGGAAAACATATAGGGAATGATTATTTATTTAGGACTGGAACTAGATTCTAGATCCAGAGGGACAGTTGAGGAGATTTCAGGAAAAACAATTAACAACAAAATACACCGCGATTGTAACAAGATCTGAAATGAAACCATGCCTTAAACTCAACAGGCCTCAATAAATTTTTATTAATCACCTTCCAGGTGCAGGCCGTTTGCATAAATTAGCTCTAATACTCCCAACAAACTTATCTGGGTAGGTTATAATACCCCATCAGACAGATAAAGAAATAGAGCCTCATAGAACAAAAGTAATTTACTCAAGATTTTCCAGCTAGTTAAGTCCAAAGATTGGGTTCAAGTTCAAGTCCACTTGAGTCTTTTTCCCACCCAGCTGCAATGTGTCTCCTGCCATCTAAGTTGCCATGTCGGAATTTTAGAAGACAGAATCCAGACCAATGAATGGAGGCTGACACATTGGTTCCATGTGAGGAATACGGTGAACTACATTCTGTTGAGCCAGAGTTGGATCAAACAAGCTCCAAGTCCCTTTCTAAGTCTTCAGATGTATAACTTGACTCCCATGCCCATTTTACAGCTAGGAAATTTGCATTTGTTAAGCAACTTGCTATACATAGCTACTAACAGCGAACCCAAACGCTGGCCTTGCGACTAGACCAGCTTGACCTTCAAGTGTATAGACTTTTTAGCTTTGTCTGCAAAATTTTTGAAATTGTTTAGTTTGTGACAGTCGTTGGTTTGTGACTATGGCTCACCTAGGTTCCACCTTGCTATCCAACTACAATTACATGATTAGAAAAGGAGGGTGTCACACCTTTCTTTTCCTGTCCCATGTTTTCCAATGGTCTTAGGCGACCCCTGTGAAAGGGTTGTTCGATCCCCAAAGGGGTTGCGACTCACAGGTTGAGAACCGCTGATCTACATCCTTTTAGTGTTCTTCCATTGGGTTTCTAATCCAGTGATGGCATTCTTAATGCTGTATATCAAGAAAGCAAATGGCACAAGGAAAGGAACCTGGTACGCTTCCAGAAATGCAAAAGCTAAACTAAACCAGGTGTCCCGGTGGCCCTCTAGGGTTAGTGAATTCTATTGAATTGCTGTTAGGTCAGTGATTCAAACCTAGCAGCCACTTGGAGGGAGAAAGAAGAGGTCATCTGCTTCCACAAGGATTTACAGCCTTTGAGGGACTTGGAGTCGGAGTGACTTTGAGTTGGAATCAACTCAAGGGTAGTGGGTTTGGGATATTTGATGCAAGCCCCACCCTCCCTTTACACCTACTCACTCCCAGATGCAAGGCCCAGGCTGTCTCTGTTTGCCTGGCAAGAAAAAGGAAAAAATTAAAAAAGAGGTTGAAAGCACCTATCAGGGAAAGAATACACCTTTCTGAGAAAGCTTGCTACCCATCCCAAAACTACAGTAGCAAAGTATAAAATCCTTCAAGTGAATTGAAAAACTGAAGGCCTTGCCTGTGCCTTTGGGGATGTGACTTAGACTGGTTCCCTACTTCTTGCCATTTCGTGTAAAATCTGGGTAAACGGGCTTTTGTAAAGGCAGGTGGGCTCATGTTAACAATTAACATCTAAGTGATTTGGTCTCTGGAAAGCCTGTTGATGTGGATTACCTGATTCAGGTAGTTTTCTAAAGGGAGCTTTAAACATTCAGACTGGGCTGGGGGATATGGGATGGGGCTGTTAAAAGGGTCATAAATGCAGGGAGGAGGAAAGACAGGAGGACAAGGCGCTGTTTCACTAAGTGGCTGAGCAGCTTTGGGAGGTGGTTAAGAGAAGGGCTGAGAAGGCTAGAACCTGGAACCATTTTATTGTTTGGATCAAACCCTAACCCCGGTCATTTACCAGCTCTCCGATCTTCAGCTAATTATCAAACTTCTCCATGCCTAGATTCCCTCTTTTGTAACCAGGACTAACAGGGTAATGCCCCTCGGGCTTGTTGTGGGGATTAAATGAGCACTTAAAGCAGTATCTGGAACAAAGTATGCTTGGCAAGCATTAGTAATACTACTTACATTTTGATGATAAGAACAGTGATTTCTCTCCTCAGTTTGAAATGAAAACAGGTGGCCTTAGAGAATCTATTGTCTCCAGATTTTACTGTTATGTTTCGTTTTCACAAATAGCAACCACTAACACACACACACACCCTTCTATTTTTTAATGAACGATACTGGTATAGGGTGGCTGTGATTCAGAGTTGACTTGATGGTTGTGAGTTTGGAGTTTGGTAGTCTGATTTTTACATGTGAGCTGAATTTATACTGCATATAATCTGTGAGTGATTAGATTTCATGTTTATTGTCCCTATGAAGTTATAAAGTGCCTGCTTTGTTATCTCTCCCGGGGTGGGGTTCACACTCCAAATGCTGTTGGCTTTGTTCTGTGCCTTCCTTGTATCTGTTGTTACTTAATTTCTGTAATCACTAGCAGCAAAAGGGTGTGAGGCACTTGTCCAGAGAGTGTTGTTCACATGAGTGGTCAACAGGAGTTAAGTCATTTATTTCTGAAAGTCTTAAAGTATTATTGGGTCTTTTTTTTTTAATTTGGGGGGTGGGGGTGGGAGGAGATCAACCAGGATTTAACCCAAATGACTAAAAGGGCAGGATGTTCTTTTTCTTTTTTCCTCCCTCCCCAGGGGCCATAAAAGGAAATGAGAACTAAATTTAATGTTAGGAGTTCACATGTTCATAAATTGATGCCTAGGTTTACGTGTCCTAGTAATTATGCCCTCCTTTGGGGAGGCTTTCCCTGAACGTTTATGCTGAGGATAGAAATTCCGTAGCTGGAAGGTTGAGTAGAAACTATGAAATAAAAGTGTTGAGAATATCCAGTAAGATATTTATCTCATGTGCCAACACAGGGCAAATCGTGTCATGCCCTCACCATCCTTTCTTTTCCCACTTCAAGGATGGGGTTGGTGCTAGATTATGAGCCCCTTCTACTGTCTTCTGCCTGATGAATTGTACCATTCAGGCCCTGCTATCAGACATTTACACTTGAGTGAAAATTTAGGTCAATGTGTTAGGGCTCCCAGGTAGTATTTATTTGGAAAGTTTACCTCTAATTGTAGATTGGCAGGGCTCTTTACTGGGTCATAGGTTATATTCCAAGCACCTGAGACCACTCTGCTGATTTTAGAAGAATAAGGTTCTCCACTCACAGAATGGAGTGAAAAGCTAACAAATCCAGTCTTGAAAGGACAGACGCCAAGTCAGTCTTGGGAGATCCTTGCAGCAGTATCAAATCTTATTCCCTTAAAAAAAAAATCTTATTCCCTTAAGGGACTTCCCTTGAGAGGAACTCTGGTCTTATTAAATCTACTAAAGATTCACATGCTGGGAGAAGAACTACTGCTTGGCCTAGCCTGGGTTATCAGTCAACCCTTTAGTTAGGGAAGGGCAAGGGATCAAGACGGCAGCTTGGGTGACAAGAGGAGACAGAAAACGGAACAGAAACAACAGGCATTTATTCTAGTGAACACATAAAGGAATTTCACACACCTGAAAATAAGCCTGGGAGAGCTTAAAAATGCGGTAAAAGAGGTGGACTGTCCTGCGGTCCTGGAAATCACGGATCACGGGCAGCCGCCTTTTTCTTATGAAGGACTCTTCTCAGAGACCTTTTCCTGGTCTCCAAAGGCAGTATGTCAGCCAAATGAGACAGGAAGGACTCCAGGATTTATGGTTTCATTGCATTATAGAATACCACTGTATTTGAGAGTCCTCAAAGTCATACTTAGTTTTTTTGGAATGACACTAAAGTGTGATTTCTAAGGTAAATGGTTGAATGAACGTGGATCTATCCAAAATCCTAGTTCTCCAATTATATTCCACTGCCCATTTGCTGCTGCTAGTCTTTGCTGCTAAGGTGTCTGTGAGTCCGTTCTGATGCATTACAACCCAAATGTGCAGAACAAACACGACTGGGTCCTGCATCCTCCTCACAACGATTGTCATGTTTGAATCCCTGGTTGCAACCGCGGTGTCCGTCCATGTCCTAGAGGGGCTTCCTCTTTCCACTGGCTCTGCTCTTTACCGAGCTGGAGGTCTTTCTCCAAGGACATCTTTCTCCTGATAACATGGCCGAAGCACGGGAGACAAACTCTTGCCGTGCTCACTTCTAAGGAGCAGTCTCACTGTATTTCCTCCAGGACAGCTTAGTTCACTCTTTTGGAAGTCCACAGTGTATTCAATTCTTCACCAACACTATAATTCAGAGGCATCAATTCTTCAGCCTCGTTTATTCATTGTCCAGCTTCGCATGCACATGTGACCAACGAAAATGCCATCTCTTGGGTCAGTTGCACCGTGGGCCTCAAAGTGATACCTTTGCTTTTAAGTACTTCAATGAAGTCTTTTGCAGTATATTTTCTCAAATCAATAGGGTATCTGATTTTGTTGACAGCTGGTGCTATGGGTATTGATTGTAGATCCAAGTAAGATGAAATTCTTCATAACTTTGATATTTTCTCCATTTATCATGATGCTGCCTATTGGCCCAGTTGTGTGGATTTTTCTTTTCTTCATGTTGCAGTGGAATCCATAGGAGGCCTATCTGCAGGGCTGGTTAACTAGGCAGCTCCCGAAGACCCACTGCAGCAACCGCAGACTTACAACGGCAGAGTTATTGTGGGAAGGGACTAGAGTAGGGGTTGAGTCTGAAAGTTAACAAATTGCCCAGGTGATAGTGATGTGCACTTACGCCTGAGAACAACTGAACCTGAAGCCACAAACCCCAGTGTTTATTGAACCAGTGCCAGTCAGTGTTCTTGCCCTAGGAATGTAACTATGAATAAGTTGAGAAGGTTCTTGTTCTGTTGAAAATTCTTTGGTGAGGAAATGAACAATGACTAGGTAGAAAAATAAATTAAGAGAATTATAGCATAGGATAACTACTATATAATATATATATATATATCAAGCTTAACACGACCAAACAGAAACGCTCACTTTCCCTATCATTCAAATAAGTTTGCCTAGTCTCAGATAAAAGTGCCACCCTCTAGCTAGATGTTCAGGGTGAAGACTTGAGCATCATTTTAGATTGATTTCTCGCTGCTTCATTTCCAAAATGCACTCTACCTGCAATTGTCAGTTTAAACCTACCAGCCACTCTGTGGAAGAAAGATGAGGCTATCTGCTCCCATAAACATGCAGAGCTTCAGAAACTGAATGTAGGGTCGCTCAGTCAGAATCAACTCAGCGGCAGTGGATTTTGTTGCTTTGTTTCAATACTTTCGAATAAGAACTTCAATCACTGCCCCCAATCTCCAGAGCCATCCTTATAGTAAGACCTACTTCCTTTTATATAAAGGACTTTGATGGTCTCTTAAGGGCCTCTCTGTCCCTACTCTGTTAGTGTCTCTCTTCCATGAACAGTTAGTCTTAGGAACTCCCAGGTCCAGTTCTACCCTGACCGATAGAGCAGCTAAGAGCCGGTATGACTTGATCGCAGTGAGTTGAGTTTTTGAGAGTGAGATGCCTCTGGAGGAGCCCTGGCGGTACAGTGATCATACTTTGGGCTGCTAACTGCCAGACAAAATGTTTGAAACCACCACCACTCCATAGGAGAAAGAGCAGGCTTTCACTTTCCTTATATAATTACACTCTTCGAAACAAACTAACAGGGGAAGTTCTACCTTGCCCTGTAGGGTCGCTATGACTCAGGATCGACTCAATGGCAGTGAGTTTGGTTTTAAGACGGTCTCAGCGTGGCACAAATCAATGAACACTACCCCAAGGTTAGAGGTTCAAAATCAGAGGCACAACACAGGGGCACTTTGGTGATGTGTTTCTAAAAGGTCAAAGCTGTGGACACTTTATAGGAAACAGCAGTGGCGTGGCTCTTGTCGGCACACACAGGTCCTCATGAGTCTGGATGGGTTCCATGGCAACCAAAAAGTTTATTACGCTCCAAGGCGTCAGCAGGAGTCTCCAAAACCTAAACGAATCCTCTGCTTAAAACCACCCAAAGATCAAACTCCCCACAGTGACCCACCAGACCTTTGTGATCTAGCCCTCCTCCATCTCTCTGAACTCACCTGGCACCTCTCTCCCGTTGCTTATCACACTCTAATCACCATGCCATTCTCTCAGGCCCTCTGGTCTAGCAAGCTTCTCCTGCCTCGTGAGTGACCTTTGAACCCGCTTTTTCGACAGTTGGCAACTGCAACTTCGTTTGATCTCCGTTCTTAAGGACACCTCCTCAAAGTAACCTTCTTCTATCCTATCCACAGTAGTCTCTCCTCCACCCCGTCACAGTCAAGAGGCTGCTTTATTTTCTTCATTGAACTTAGCCTCTTGAAATAACCTTGCCAATTAGTTTACACATTGACATCTGTATTTTCTGAGTGTATGGATTTTTGTCTATTGCATTCACTTTTCTATCCCTAACCAGAACTGTGGATGGTAGATAGAAAAAAACTCAAACTCACTGCCATTGAGTTGATTGATGCTGACTCATAGCAGGGGGGAGGATACTACCCACCCCCCCGGGCTTTTGAGACTTTAACTATTGAAGGGAGTAGAATGCCCTTTCTCCCACAGAGCAGCTGGTGGTTTCAAACTGTCAACCATGCAAACCCACATTCCAACTTGTAACCATTATACTTCCAGGACTCAGATTCAATAAATGTTTGTGCCTTGTTGAATGGAAAGTGTTATGAGTAGAGAATGACTTTCTTATGGGACTACATACTGTGCATACTCGAGTATAAACTGACCGGAATATCAGCCGAGGCACCTAATTTTACCACAAACACTGCATAAAAATGTGCTGAAAAAAACTTGGCTTATACACGAGTATATATGGTAAATTATATTTTTGTCCTAGAAAAGTTTCCACTCCTTGCAAGCAGGTTTAATTGTATTCTACCAACAAATTTCATACTTTGCTGCCTCCATTCAGTGAAGAGACCTGTAGTGAACATTCATCATTGTTTGAGAATGCCATTGTTGTTGCTAGTTGCCAATGAGTTGCTTTCGACTTAAGGTGACCTCATGGTTTACAGAACAGACCATTGCTCCACCCTCACTGTTGATAATGTCTGAGCTCATTGTTGCAACTGCCAATCCAGCTCTTGAAGGGTTTCCCCCAATGTTTGCTATCTTACGAAGCATGACCCTGAGCAAAATGCTGGGGTTCTGAGCTCAGAAAGTTCACATACACATATCCTTGTTTTTGGCACCTTCATCACCAAAAACCCTTCTCTTCCCTCTTTCCCCATCACAATTCTGCTGCTTACTCAGAGACATTGACGCTGTTCTCTCCAGAAGGAACTGATCTCTCTCTTTCTTGAACTCCTTATGTATTATCTCACCTGCCCCATGCTTATTTGCTAAATACGTGCCTTAAATTTAAACTTAACCTTTCTGCACCTCAGCTTACCTCTCTGAAAAATAGAATGAACGATACTGTCTCAGCAGAATTGATATGGTGATTACATATTACATGTATAATCACCAAGCATGGTCCTTGGTACATAACTCATAAAGTGGTAGTTATATGGGTCTTCATGAGTCAGAATCAACTTGATGGCAGATGGTTGGTGGGTCAGTAATAATAATTATTACTTCTACTTATTAATAAAATTGTCATTACGAGGGGTATCCCCCAAAAACTGGAAAAAAGCTCCACGAGGTGAAGTTTTCGTAGTACTCACTTTTTCCCACTAGGCGAGCATCCAGCAGCTCACCCTGAGTTAGTGTACCCACTGGTGTCACCTGGGAAGTTTCTCTCTGGCCACAGTAAATTTTTTTTGTAAAAGCAGTTTCACTCAACCCTCATTTTTTGTGATGGCTGATTTAAGAGAACAGTATGTGGCTGTGAATTTTTGTTTCCTGATCGGAAAAAAAATGCCTCAGAAACTGTTGTTGTTGAACACAGCTTACAAGGACAGCATTAGAGGAAAAGCTCAAGTGTATGAGTGGTTTTCTCGTTTCAAAAAAGGTGAAATGTCAGTTGATGACAAACCCCATTCTAGACCTCCATCAACTTCCTGAACAGATGAAAATGTTGACTTACAGTGCATTTGGAGTTTGTTCCATCAGGTCAGACTATTAATCAAGCTTTCTATTTAGAGGTTCTGAAAAGATTGCGTAACAGTGTGCAACTGAAAAAGGCCTGATTTGTGGCAGACGGGAGACTGGTTTTGCCACCATGACAATGCACCTGCTCACACATCTATCTCAGTGTGTCAGTTTTTGGCCAAAAAAACCCAGCATGGCTCTCTTGCCCCACACACCTTACTCACCTGACCTTGCTCTGTGCAACTTCTTTTTGTTTCCCCCATTGAAGAGGGAATGAAAACATGAAAGGGCAGTGATTTGACAACGGTAGAAGAGGTGAAGAAAAAAATGAGGGAGGTGCTGTCAGCCATCCAAACAGATAAGTTTGAAAAATATTTCCAAGAATGGAATCATAGATTTGACAAATGTTTCAAGTGTAATGTCTCCATTACTTTGAAGATGATTAGATTGTTTTTTAAAAAATTGTAAATATAGCTTTGAAAAAAAAATCTAGCTTTTTTTTTCGGTACCCCCTGGCATGTCTGAATACTTCAAATACAAAGCAATATTATTGATATAATGGAGGTTATTTGTTAAGTTTACCATTTGCTAGGTGCTTTATATTACAATCACATATATTACGATCACACATTATGATCACTCTGAAATCTAGCTGTTTCATGCATTTTTGATTTTCCAACTAGATGTTTAGAGCCTGAGCTATGTCTGAAAGTTTTTGTAAACCTCTCAATGACACTCTTGCATTGTTCATAGTAAGTGCTTAAAATCTAGTTATTTAAAATGATGCAGATGATCTGTAGCTCTGAGATTCAGTAACTTGCATATGTCAGCATGTAAGTTGATCTGGAAAATCACCTCAAATTGACCTGAAATTTTTATGTAAAAACGTTGGTCTGAATATGTCCCTACAAGTTCCTCATCACTGTAGCAAGCTTCTATCACCCTCTATTAGCTGCTTTAAATAATGTGCTGCCTTCCATTTTCTCAACAAATATTGTGCTATACTATGTTTTAGGCAATGAGTAAAGGCTTTTGAAAGATATGGAAATGATGACAATCATTGTCAGTACTTCTGGCATGTTCATAAACTCCACTTTTGCAGTTGCTTATTCTTCCCAAGAGACTAGCTCTTCTGTTGGAGCTAAGCACTTAGATAACATAAAGAACATGCAGTGCTATAAATTGTCTGGGTCTGGAGCCTAAAAGCTTAGGTTTGAATCCAGCTCTTCTAATCCTTTGCTCTGGGATCCTAGACAAGTAACTTATCCTTCTAGGTCTCCATTCTTTATCTGTAAGATAAAAATAACATCTACCTTTAAGGGTTATTATGGGTGCAAAGTATAACAATGCAGGTAAAGCATCTGGTACTGTTATGAGAAAAGAAAATATTAGTTTTTCATTAAATTAAGTTCATATTCCTCAACCAATCATACTAAGAACACTGGGGTGGGGACAAAGCACCTAGAAAATACGTTGCTTTCAAAATAAGGCTGGACTGAAGGACCATACACTTAAGTTCCATTATGTGCAAGGCATTATCACCTGTTCATAAGTTAAATCATTTATTCTTCAGACTCACTGCCACAGAGTCAGTTCCAACTCAAAGCGACCCTATAGGGCAAAAGAGAATGACCCCTGTAGTTTCTAAGACTAAATCTTTTCTATTATTATTAATCATTTTATTGGGGGAGGCTCTTACAAATCTTATAACAATCCATCGCTCAATTGTATTAAGCATATTTAAACATATGTTGCCATCAACATTTCCAAAACATTTTCTTTCTACTTGAGCCCTTGGCATCAGCTTCTCTTTTTTCCCCTC